TATTTGTACTCGTCTAAGTGTAGTTGAATAATAACACCCTTTATTCACTTTTCGTTCTTTCCACGACAGTACAAGGAAAACAAAAGCTTCTGTGAAGACCTAACGGAAGGAAAGTTTTCATTTCCGATCATTCATGCCATTCGCAGTGACTCAGAAAGCACGAGAATTTTGAGTATCCTTTTGGAAAATTTGTCCACCAATAGATCCTAACGACTTTTAAGTTCTGGCTGGGTTGGGTCTTGCCGGGGGGGGGGGAAGGAAGGTGAGTATGATTTGAGGAGAGGCTGAAGGGGGAATAGGCCTCCTGCAAAGGAGAGAGAGCTTGCGCAAAAGGCCTTGCATTATCTGGTCGAGCATTGCGCTCAAGTCAACGTAAAATGCTCACATGAATGATACATTCGCGATTACGGCTTTCTGCGCGGTGGGAATTGACAAACAAAGCGAAATAACATTAAGTTTTCAAATGAAACTTGTTACAATGACGAGCCGTTATGGGGTTTGTGGACGTTCTGCCGCAAGCGGCATTGTTATGTTGTCTTTGGATCATAGTCACGGCTAAGTTGCCTGAAGAACAGGAGTAATTTTTTTTTTGTTTAGTTTGTTTGATCGTTTCTTGAATTTTGTGATTGTTTTACAGGAAGAAACTGCGCGAGGCAGGTGCAATGTACGAGTCATACCCCCGCACGTGACTTGTTTCTTGCGCTCGCCTTGCTCGCCTCGCGAGTGCTTCCAAAACGTTGAAGATTGACTCTGACCGCAGACTGTTGCTGCAGGCGACAGTGTTGTTGTTTTCCATGGGATTAAGAACGATGAGATGTGAGCTTTCCTAAAGCTGAATTCGTTTAGTATTTAACTTCAACAAAAATGTCTCATAATGCTTACGGAGTTAGTAGAATCCTTAGTATTCCATAGATATTTTGAGACAGAGAACTACCGACGTAGATCTTAAGAAGTATTTTGTAGATTGTTTAGAAGAGGTGAGTTGGACATGCTTTGACTAAACTCACGATGAATACTGACACTGAGCATGCATAGGCACTGTATTATTAATGTAATGAAGTACTTCTTTCTTTCTTTCTTCTTTTTGGCAGATTGGCTCATTTGCGTACACCAAGGTGATACTCAAACAAATGGAAGAAAAGTGAGTAGATCAAACCAGCTAAACGTCGAAAATGTTCATTTGTTACAGCTAGGTGATGCCAATAATGAGTAGCCTGTACCAGGGAAAGTCGAGAATGTTCATTTGGTACAGCTAGGTGATGCCGATAATGAGTAGCCTGTACCAGGCAAAGTCGAGAATGTTCATTTGGTACAGCTAGGTGATGCCGATAATGAGTTGCCTGTACCAGGGAAAGTCGAGAATGTTCATTTGTCACAGCTAGGTGATGCCGATAATGAGTAGCCTGTACCAGGGAAAGTCGAGAATGTTAATTTGGTACAGCTAGGTGATGCCGATAATGAGTAGCCTGTACCAGGCGTTTACTTAACTGTTTAACTCCCAAAAGTGATTGACATGTAACTTCTCCCTTTAACATTCATACATTATCCAGCAAACAGGTAATGAGAATACTCAAACTTATCAGGTTGAGGTTGTTACCTTGATTGAACACCAAATTCTTGTAATCAATTTACAAGGAAATGTGTAGCAGCTATAGGGGAGAATAGTCCATTTTACAGTTGTGTGCTTGGTTGCCAAGCCTTTCAACGGGAGTGAGGCTAGAAGTGACTTTGTTATGATACAAACCTTGCAGCCTTTCAAATGTAAATCACTTTGTTATCATTCTAACTAGATACAAGTCTCTATCACGACAAGGTCACCTTCAGCCTTACTCCAAATCAAAGGCTTGGCAACTAAGTACACAACTGTAAAATGGCGTATTGAGGGTTATGACACAAAGCGTGATAGTAAACGGTGCAGTAGTGGCGAAGGAATGAAAAAAAAAACAGAGAGGTCTGGGTTGGGAGGCGTAATGAACGCTACTCCACCTAAGCCTCCCTCGTTTTCTCTCTAGCGCTAATTTCGCTCTGTTTTACTAACTGAACGCTTGGAAAAGGCAAATTTATAAGGCGAGTGAAAACTGGAGCTTCTTTTGAGTCACGAATTTTGGTATTAAGAATTTAAGTATTAAATGGGATGACATGATGGTAGATTGTCTCTTTTTGTAGATATATCTCAGCAATTTAAAGTGACGCATATAAATTGTTTGAATTCTTTTGACATTTCAGATCTCAAGCACTGATCGCAGATTTGGGTGGAAATCCTCAACTTTCAGCTATAGTTCAACAACTAGCAAAACTCTATTCCTAGTTAATTTTTAATGTAATTTAAATAAGAAAAATAAAAATCGAATAATCACTGAAGGACGCCGTAAAATCGTGAGTTAATTGTACCATAAATTAACTGAGGAGAATGTGCTGCCTTTGGCTGGTATGGTATCTGCAAATGGTTAGACACTCTACTCTTCACGGTTAAGAACGATGAACCGTAGACCACGTCTTTTGCATCTTCTCTGTACTGGTTAGTAGGACACGTGAAAGAATCCACGCCCTTCGCGTAAAGATTAGGGAACATAGTGGTGTAATGGTCTGACCTTGTTTTCAAAACATTCTTAATTGAAGGCACCTACAAAATTCCCTTTCAAAAATCTGTAAACTACTCAATGCAATCAGGCCAATGTCTCTGGCAAATTGTTGTAAAGCGCATTAGAGCTTTTTCACGTATATCAGGAGCCTGCCGACGGTCGCAAGTATCGTCTTCGCTGTCAAGAGATTCATCCTATACTTTTATTAGGGTTTAGTTGTCGAACAATAACTTCCGTTGGTGGACACTTTATCTATCTAACATATACCCTCTTTATACATACGCCTCGTCAGAGGTCTCGGTTTTGATTTCGTACTCGAAGATTGTCAGTTCAATTTGAATTATTCGTTCACTTTTTTTTTTCCATCGTGAAATATGCTATTCTTATTCCACAAAAGGCAATAGAGACTCCGATCTGTAAGACGCATGTAACAAACGATGTGTCAAATTAAACAATGACTTCCGGGAAACCTTAGATGCGGGTGGCCTCTTTCACATGCCAAGATATCGCACAGTTTTGACAAAGAACGACCTGTGTCACCAAATTCAAGGTGAAATATTCGTCCTTGGTGGTTCACTTTTGGGATTCTTATCGATGAGGGATTCCACGCCAATGTGAACAGAGAACACTTAAACTATAATTCACTTTCTTCCAGCAATTTCTTCAAACAATTTCGTCAAACAGCGGATCTAATTGGCTGTGGAGGTTTATTGGTAAAACTTTACATAGTGCATGAATTAGTAATATTGTAAGTCGAGGGCTGTGTTCAGTAACCTTTATAATCTCAAAGGTCGATACTGTCGAACGAAAAAGATCAGTCATTGTCGAGGTTCCAATCACAGGTGAGAAAAAGGACAGCGCCTTGTGAGATGAGTGGATGTTTTGCGAAAGTTTTTGTTTTTGTGACATCATTTCTTCTGGTGGCGGGAAACAAACCCAACAACTGCAGTGTCTACGGTCATTGTTCTAGCGATAAAACAGATTCAAAGAAAAATTTGACCAACCTAGGGCCAGACTCGAATTTCGAGAAGAAAAGAAGTCAATTTCATCAAACCAAAAATTATGTCAAGGAAGAAACATTTTCTAAGAGAGACAGCACTTTCACCGATGTGCTTAAAAACCTCTTAGCTAAGGTGGACAAGGCAAAAACTACCATCATAGATTTGAATAGTGTACCAAAACGAAATGCTTCTTCTACCGTAAATCCTGTAACGAATCCCGTGAATGTTTCCAAAACAACTGCAGCCCCCAGCACTAGCACTCTCCCTACTGTTGCAACTACGCCAAGTTCAAGTTCCACATCCGGAGTTTCAACCTCGCCCACGGTCGGAAGTGAGGCCACTACAACTGCGGCACCCACCGTTGCAAGCTCTCCGAGCCCTTCCTCTTCGACCCCGGTCGTGAAACCTACGGGCAACGCCTCGTGTAATGAAACTTTAGGGGCTTGTGCCGGCGGTACACTTGTGAAACCTGGCGGAAATAACATCACCATCGCTCCTGGGGTCGTTTTAACTCCAAATGGTGAAATTATTTTAACTCCACACCTCCCGCTATTGCCAGGGGCTGGTCAAACTACAGCGAGTAAACCTTATCCCGAGATGTTTCCCGCTTTATTAGCCGGATTGGCCGCAGCAACCGGTACAGCTGGAGTAACCGGGGCAGCAGGAACTGCAGGAGGTGCTACCTCGGTTGCCGGACAAGGAGCTCCCCAGACGTCCTCCACTGCTCAACAAAGTGCGTGAAATTATCAAATGATCTTATTTTATCCCGCCTTATTTAATGGTTGTGAAACAGTGCCCAATTGGAGTTTGTTATTTCATTTAAGCCAAGTCAAGAAAAGCGGTTTCCTCTATGCGAATTGAGGAGAAAATATAATTCAGTTTGAAGGTAGATGTTAGAGAATAATCTGCTTAAAAGTGTGACCCAACGGTTTGAAATTTTCAAGGAGACTGCTTATTTTAGGTAAAAGCGCAGGGAATAATCTTTATCAGCAGGCGGCGTGGCCGAGTGGTTAGGGTGCTGGACTTGTACTCCGGTTTCCCGGGTTCAAGTCCTCCACCCTGCCACTCACTGGATTTGTTCTCGGTTGCGCTCTGTAAATGGCCCACTTGTCTGCCTCCTGCCAGTGGGGATTTTTTTTAGCACTTAGTCCACATTGTGGCTGAAAAGCCCCTAAGGGGGAGCTTCAATTTCCGTATTTATTATTTATTTAATAACAGACTCCAATATTATTCTGAGTGAGATGATGGCCACACCACAAAGCTTAAGAGCTTTCAACGTTATATAGCCAACCAAACTACGATAATACACCTGTATGCGTCAAAAATATAAAGACAATTATAGTCATAACACATGCAGAAGCCAAAAGGTACGAGAGAGGCCAAAGTAAGAAACGAAACACAGCCACGGATTACATTTGAGTAATCTTGAAAACCCCAACGAGTAAAAACTAAAATGAAAAGTTTTCTTTTATCACAGGGCCATGTGTCAATAACTTCGATAGCTGGCAGGATTGGGCTGCTAAAGGAGAATGCACCAAGAACTCTCCGTTTATGATGGTAAACTGTCGACGCAGCTGCACCAATTGTGGTAAGGAAATAACCAATACTGAGAGAGTTCTTTATTATGGGAATTAGTTTACGGAGAAAAATTCTGCAATCTTATGTATTCTTTTCTATCCTTTTATTTTCTCGACTAAATATGTATTTTCCTTTTCATTGCACTGACATCGTTTTTTTTTGTCTTTGTCATGCAGCAAAGTGCGAAAACAACCAACCGCAGTGCGTTGATTGGGCAAAACATGGAGAGTGCAGAAAGAACAGGCCATACATGGAGCAGAAATGCTGGCGAAGTTGCTCGAAATGCGGTACGTAAAAATTAAGATAAAGACTTCTTGTTAACCGAGAAAAGAACACTGTTTTTGTTCCGGTTCCCGCCCTTGCTGGATGTTTCTTTTAGACTCCCATTAATAAAAGGAGAAACGCTAGTTTTGTCAAAAAACACAATAAATTATATCGCTAAAGTTTGATAATCCAAGGTTGGAAAAATTCAGCCAGATGAAGTCGCCATCTTCTATAGCGGACTTGCATGGGCCCCAGGTGTCATAAGATCTCTCTTTGTATAAAAAAGAACAGTTTGTTTTGAAACTTATCTGTACCGGCATGCTGCATTTTCAAATGAGAAGTGAGTTTGGGAGTCTTCTGATGAAAAAAAATAACTATTAAGGCTATCGTGATTTTTTCTGCGTTTTAGCAGTTCAAATGCTGTGTAGCTAACATTGACCTCATCTTATTCAAAAGCTCCTTGCGTGAACAAATATCCCCACAAATGCATCACATGGGCTAAAGATGGCAAATGCTCTTCAAACAGAAACTTTATGGAGACGATGTGCTGGAGAAGCTGCTCAAATTGTGGTAAGAGGAAACTGGATTGATTGAGGGAATGTCTACCATAATCAAAATACTTGAATAGGTAATTGAAAGCGACTGATCGCCCGTCTCTTTGACTGATCAGCAAAACAGACGCCGGAAAAATGTTGTTTAATACACTAAGTTCCTTGAAATGCTATTTCGTAACAGAGTAGATCACAGTACCTGGGTAGTTGACGCGCTGTATTACAAATCATAATGCTTGGTTTAAGGCCTTGGCTGTTATTATGCTGTATTCCAGAGAACTAACAGTGCCCTTTGTCATCGTGAAAGATAAATTAGGATCAGAAAACTTTCAGGGAAAATGCAAATTGCCGGAGGTTACTAAGATGGAAGAGGGAGATGCAGGAGAAAAGCGTTATTTTGCTGAACTCCAGATCAAATGTTTCGGGTTCAAAGCCTTAGAAATCCCTGTGTTGGGCCCTTGATCAAGACACTCTCACAACCCCTTTCTCCACTCCTGACTGTAAATGTATGTCGGGAAAGTATCAGGAAATGTTAGAGAACCTGACAAGGAGCTAGGCGATAACCCTGTAGTGGGTTATTTCTTACAGGTACTCACTGCTCGAGTAGTTTTCCTACCTTTCTTCTCCTTTTATTTAATATTGTTTTCCAAACTCAGTGAAATGCGAGAACAAGAGAGATGGATGTGTGGACTGGGCTGCAGATGGGCAATGCACTAAGACTGCTTCTTTTATGTTAGCAAACTGCTGGAAGAGCTGTTCATTTTGTGGTGAGTACCATTTTATAGGTTTCGATGTTAACCATTATTGTAGTAGTGTAGTAGCATAGTAGCGATGCCCGTGACATTTAGGCTCCTTTCTCAAAAGTAAGCTCAGAATTCAATCTCCTCCCGTGCGGTGACTTACTCTTAAGAGACACATCCATTGATGGAACAAAACCAAAGTGAAAGCTAAGTTTGAAATTAGGCGGAAACCGTTATGAGTGTTGATGAAATTGTCTTTGTTCTTGGCTTTTGTTTTTTCTGAGCTTAGTTTTCGCGCCTTCATACCTTTTGTTACCATTATTAATTAGTTATTAATTGGTCGCAGAGTGACTTCTGAAGGATCTCAATATAAGTTTCTTTTGGTGTTTCGACCGACCAACACCAACACAGCTTGTTAATACTAATATTTCTCACAATATTGATGTTTCTTCATTCTTATTATCATCCAAGTTATTATTACTATTCCTTTTATTGCTAATGACACCTCAATTATTATGATGATTGTCTTAATGCATTTCAATGAACTTACGTTTAAAAACCATCGTGAGCAGTTAGAATAGTTTGGTACATTGGTCTCAGAGCTTAGCGGAAGCCTTAGGGAAACCAACTTGGGAGCACAGTAATTGGAATGATGGGGTGACTTCACAATTTCTTTTTAGGCCTCCAATGTGCCCTCATTGACAGCGTTTCGGCGCGAGCGTTTCTTCGCCCGCGGGAAAAGTCGAAGCCTTAAGTAACTCAAGCCCGCGATCGGTCTTAAGGATCTATCACTGATGTTAGAGCCAGACCTCCAGTAAACCTCTTTCTGACTCGTCTCAAATCATCACGCGGGTGGAAAAACGCGCGTTCTGCAGCGTTACGTTATTTTTTTCATTTCTTTCCATTATAAAGACATTTCTCATCATCATCATTGTTGTCTTAGTTATTTATTGGTGAAGTGTTAACCTTGTTCCCTTACAGCTCCTTGTATCGACAAACATCCGACCAATTGCCCACTCTGGGCTAAAGATGGAGAGTGCAAGAAAAATAGGAAATTTATGGAAGAAAATTGTTGGAAAAGCTGCTCAAACTGTAAGCAATTTTTTTTTCGTTGTTTGTGCATCAGTGATAAAAATGTACTTTTAAGAATAAGGAGAAGACTCTTCAGAATCTCTTCTTGATTTCGGTTCTTGATTTTCAAATGTAAATTCGACTTTTCCCTGCAGGTTGTAAGGATAAAAACAAGCATTGTGCAGAATGGGCCAAAACCGGAGAATGCATGAAGAATCCAGATTTTATGAACGAAAACTGTGCTAAGAGTTGCAAAAAATGCTGAAAAAATTTATTGCTACATCACTTATGCAAAGTTGGTAGATCAGCGGGAAGCTCTTCTTGAATTGCCGTTTTTTACAAACCATTTTATCATCATTGCAATACAAACTGTTTAAGAGGAAATTACTTATTGAGAAACAAACTGCGGGCATCTCTCGACAGTTATTTTGCTTGACTCAGAGTCGTTTGACTCATCGATTTGCATTCACCAAAGCTAGTCAGTACAGGTGTCATGGTGACACAGATAAATTAGACTAAAAAATCTCCTACGTGGATGAGATATTTCTTGAAGAGTGGCCAGTCAGGCAACTCGTTCAATAAATGACTATGGTAGGTAGGAATCAATAGGAGCGTATCTTTGATATCGAATATGTCCACTGTTATGTGATATTCGAAGTCAAAACGCATTGTAAATAGTTCTCCATTCATAGAGACAAGCTCTCTGATATCGATTAATCAGTTCCTGTGTTTTTTGTTTGTTTTGATTTGTTTTTTTTCCTTTCTTCTGATCTACGAGAGCACAATTTTAAAGGCTGTTTAACAAGAAACATGTAGGTAGTGTCATGATAAATATCTTCCTAGAAAAAAAGTCAATGGCTAATGTAAAAGACCATTAGTTAGATAATTAGAGATTAAAGTCAAATGGAACCACATGTTCGTTAGCTGGTTTTTTGTCTTTCTTTCTCCAATTTCCTTCAACCCTCTTCAGACGGGGTTTTATGTAGCTTTCTGGAACATCGGGAGAGGTAGGGAGGGAGGGGAAGCAAGGTGAAGGAGGGTTTCTAGAGATCTCTCCATATTTTGAGGGGGATACAAAAAATTACTAAGATAAAAATTGGTAACTTTTTGCATGCCATGGCCACAAAATGCCTACTTCAATCACTATGTCAGCGCGAAGGCATTAAATTTTCGAAGGAGAAGCGGGGGGAAAAACAGAACAAAATATAACCGTGTTACAATCTTAATAGCTGAGCATATTTCTGGTTTGTCCTGAGTAGTTTACATGTGACTTGTTCCACCAATCATAACATGGTAATATCTGAGCACATTGAGGGTGATGTTTTACTCAAGTTTGAACGTTGTCCTGAACTGCCGTTAGATTGGAGGAAACCAAAACTTTTAAATGAAATAACCTAAAGTACATCTATCTTCTCAACATGAGAAGATAGTTGTCAAAATACTGCGCTTTATTACAAAGGGAAGTTGCGCTGAATTGCGTCACGAATCCAACAGCAATAAGCTAAAACGGCGGGGACATTAAATGTGGCAGGTGTTTCTCAGTGGTGTAGATCTTTCCATCAGTCGATTCTTTATGTCAAGTTAATAATGTTTTAGTCCACCTACTGATAAGCACATTCATTGAGCGGCTTCAAGGCGGAGTGTTAACTCCACAAAGCTTTGATCGATGAGATCTGAAATCAATACTTAAGAAACACTCTGAAAGGTACTTCATTAATTAAGACTTTCAGTTAGCCTGTTTTAAGCATGCGAGCTTTCACGTCTTTAAGAGTCAGTCTTACATCAACTTCAATATATTCGTCTTCGGTTGCGTAGTTGCGAAATGGAGATTCGTCTTGTTTTAATCCAAGTTTTGATGTGGTGTATACTATGCCTTAAGGTAAGTAAAAAATGTTGTTTTACACGGTAGCATCATTTGAAACTAAGTCGTAAAATTAATTACAGCCCACGTTTCTTCATTTACAGCGTGAGTTCCTCTACCGAGCCATGTTTTATTCTTTAAGTGCACTACTACATTGCTGAGGAAAGATTTTAAACCTTTGAAGATGAAAAGGTTAATCAAATCAGTGCAAACAGCTCGATATATCCCGCTTAGAAGACATGGAAAATTAATGTCAGGAAATAATTCAAAATATCGTAATTATTTTCTATCGTTTTCAATTCCTTTTCGGCAAGCTTAATCCAGTCCCTACAAAATGTATTAATTTCTATAGATCTGCAGACAGAATGCAATCCTCAGCTTCATTCCCCAAAGCTCTTACAGTGGCAAGGTTTCTCTTTCTTGTAAAACTAACGTCTATTTCCTTTTTTATCTCTTTTATATTTGCAGGGGATTTCCGTAGATCGACCAAAACCAATCTTAAGTGTAGAGCTTTCAGTAGATGACAGCCAGCCCTTGTTTCAAGGGTAAGTCTAGCAAAAGCTAAAGCTATTTTTAGAACAGTTGCAAATTTTTTTTGTTTATTTACTTTGTTCCTTATTGGCATGATTGCTTTCCCACAATACTCTGCCATAGCTTGTCATGATGCCTCATTTGTTAGTCGACCAAAACAAAAACAAAAACTTAATAAAAAAAAATGTCTGTGACCTTCACATGGCGATCATTGGAAAAGCTTTTGAGAGGAACGCACGGGTATTTGCAGTTTCATGGTTTAAATTATTCATTCTTCACTTTTTTGCACAGAAATAAGACCTTATGTTTATCTATTTCGTCTCTGAGTGGGATGACTTCTTTTCCACCACGTTCTTCCCATGCTTGTCATAATGCATAATTTAATCATCGACAAAAAATAAAAAAATAAAACAAATAGATAAAAAGTCAGAGGGCGGCACATACTTTACGGTTTCATGGTTTGAAATGTTTTATTCTGAATTTTTTTTACAGAAACAAAACTAAACTCAATGTAAATGTAACCCATGATATCAACTCCACGTCTGCAGCCAGCCATATAATTATCATTCCACAGGCTTCATTTAAAGCAGAGTTCAGTTCAATAAATTTATCATCGCATTCAGTGACTCCAGACGTGCTACAAAATAACAGAGTCGAGGTACGATTCCTCTCTTATTAATATATCTATTCAGTATATCATCTCGTTTTAAGGAAACATTAGAATAACAGTATATTCACACAAATTACAAAAAGGAAAGCGGTGTGTGTCTTGCAAGTTCCCATCGACGTATTATCTCTTTGTGGCTTTAAATTGGATCGCAGTTTTACAAAACAATAAAAACAAAAGGAGTGAAGAAGTTGTATTGTTTCATCTAGTTGTAGTTAATAGTAACCATCCTTTGGCTTTATTCAGCTCAACAGGCTCGAGCCGGACCAACAATTCTCGTATGAAGTTTTCATTTCCATTGATCCTCATGGACTCACTGAACCTGGTCGCGTACATATAGCTTATGTGATCAGCACCATAACATATAGCGGCGATTATGACAATTTTACAGATCCGAATACCGGAAAAAGGGTGACTAAAACTACTGACAACTCTCACACTTCGTTCTACTTCTACGTACCAGGTTTGTAAAGAAGCGCTAGACTTAAGTTTCTCACTAGACCAGACGCCTTACACTTGGATCTGCTAGGCACACCAATGTAAAAAAAGGTATCAAATTTGGTCGTCGTAAAGGAACTCGAGAGCCATCCAGTTGCATTTTGTTCCTCGGCTATGGCGTACGGAACTCGCTGCGCTTGATCCGTAACTCACGACCTTGAAGGATAGGGTGGATAGAGAAAATTTCTAATAACATACGGAGGTTTTGAAAAGAATAAAACTGTTTCGGAGCCCACGTGAGGGAAGCTGTTATTATCCGTCCATCTGCATTTCGAAAAATTAGGTTACTGTTTTTTTTTTTCGATGTAGCATTTTATGTTCTTTGCTTACTCAAGTCGAAATGACCCTTAACCAAACAAACGGTAAAACAATATATGCTACCTTTGAAACAAGCCGCCCATAAGAAACTATGATAGAAATTAAACCTCTTTCAATCAATATCTGCGACAAGCAGATCGCGATATCACGAATGCTCAGTCTAGAATTTTCCTTATTAGAGTTTTCCTGCTTTGAGCCGCTGGGTATGAGAAGTGGGTACATCAAGGAGAGCCAACTTTTGTCATCGTCATTCTTCAAGACATCTCAAAATTCACTCGGTGACAGTCCCCATCACGCTAGGCTTGGCAGCTCAGGGCACTGGTCTCCAGCTGCTGGTAGTGCTTCAATTGACAGAGAACAGTTTATACAAATCAACTTTGGGAGATTCATTCAATTGAAAGTGGTTTGTTTAAACACCTTTTGTTTACCTCGATGTATTCCTATCATAATAACACACATGGAGAAAATTTATGCGTGTCTGATTGGCTGAAAACGGGAAAATTGTAACACGATTGCAAAGTTGTAACATGAGTACAAATGACAAATAGCGCGCGCTGTCAAATTTCGTCTGTATTGACTTTCTGTGATGCCTTTTCATGTAAATTATTATCAAGTCCCAATATTATTTCTCCTGATTCCAACGGGCTTGAGTAGCTTTCTTCTCTTTGAAGAACTTACTCTTGCTTCTAACACCAAATTGCAATCGAAATCGTGTTGTTAACTATACCTATCTAATACATGTAGCCTCCTTCCGAATACTTTTGATACTCCCTTCTCTACTAATAATTAAGTTCATACAAGCCAGTTATTATCGTCCATACTTCTGTAGAACCAATATTAAGTAGCTAGTTTATGACCGTTCACCAAGGTCTGAAGCTCAGGAGCTCATTTCGCAGTGATTTCACCTCAACCCACGGATATTCCAGCTTCAAAATTGTACTTAAAAACAAAATTCCTAACAGAGAAGATGCTACATTTGAATGACTGTATGTTTTTCTGTTTCTGAATGTTGATATTTTAGATTGCATTACAAGGAAAACCAAATTCTGAAGAACACGTTAAAACGTTTAATGCTTGGACGAGTCTTGACGGTGAGGAATGGAAGAAAGAAAATCCTCTACCTAAGGTTTCTGTATGTTTTGATTTTATGGCGCAACTATCTCACTTGGTGTACGTTACTGATAGGACTTCATAGAATATCGATTTTCATTAGCATATTGGAACGATGATCAGCCTGAAAAACCTGACTTTCGAATTGACCTCTGGGCCGTCTATCCGGGAGCTTATTTACGTGCAGCTGATCGCGGGAATTGTCTTATACCCCAAAGTTAATGGAAAAACCCCATGCAAGGTTCGTGCGCGATGATGCAAACAGGGCCTAAAAAGCTGTAAGGCCCAGTGCATGGACTCTTGAGTGCAAAAGGCAAGCAGGAAAAAAGAAAGAGAAAGAAAAATTGGTTGTTTTATGATAAAGTGCTGATTGATTTAGTGAGGTCGGGCCGGACGGGAAGATATTTGGCTCTCGGTCGTGGTGCACGAATCGAGTGCTGTGAGGTCCATACCTTTCAGCCACGAGCCAATCTTTTTCCCACGCACCCGTATCGTAAAGTACATTAGAGCGTATTCCTATGGAAAATGCGCTACATAACTGAATCATTATCGTTATCAATATCATCAATCCTCATTTCATTATTGTAAGGGGCTTGTCAACGTGACAAATGGAAACGCTGCAATCCCAACTGCTTATCAGATTCCTACTTCCATTCGATTTCTACGAATTCAGCCCACGTCCTGGCACAAGGGAAGTGCCCTTCGAATTGAGGTTTATGGATGTTATAGAAATGAAACAGCACAAACAGAAGGTAGGGTTTTTTTGTTTCATTCCTTTGCTGATTCCTTGGTCTATTGTTTTCTAGTGAAGGATATATTTTTTCGATTTGTGTTCAGTATTTTCTACGATGAAAGAGCTGAAAAATTATGTCCAGTTTATTAGATTTTAGGGTATAAGCTAGATATGCAACATCTG